ATATAACGGCTAGGATTTTGAGGTGAGAGGAGACGATTCTTCTCCACATGGTGCCGGTGATGATGATCTCAGGTCACTCCTGCTTCTCCAAGGATCGGTGAATCGAAAGGTCAAAGATGTGTTTATTCCTCACTGCTTCTCTGAGAATCTTGGCCAGCCGAAGCTCTCTTGTTGGGCTTCAGAGAAACTGGCTTGGCACGTGCGGAATACCGGCACGTGCGAGTTGATAGCCCTTTTGCAGATCGAGCCTTGACAAAATGTTATTATTTCTAAGAAAACCCCTAAACTACACTTTTTTTTTCACGTATTTTTAGAAACAACAAAAACCCCCAGGTCCTGAAATCAGAATTTTGAAATTTTGAAATAACAATATTATAAGCTATACAAACAAACCCTACATTGGGATCTTAATAAGGTAGGTAGTATGGAAAAGAAAAAAATATTGATATGCATCCATTTATTATTCAATAAACACGTTAAAATTAAAAAAAAAAAAGATTGGCAAAAAAAATAATGATTCCAAAGATTGTGTCAAAAAATGATGAAATGGTATTTTCAATGTGAAGCAAAAAAATTGGGTCACAACACAAATAATATCTATACGCATTCTTAATGTTTAAGTTTTTTAGAATTGGTAAATTTTATACAAAGATATATATTTTTTCATATAGATGATGAAACTAAATAATAAAGATGTTTTGTTTTAAATACAAGTAACTAATACGGTTAAAAAGACAAATCGATTGCCGCAGCCCTGCCAAGTCAGACAAGGAAAATGACACGATGGAAAATAAATTAAGGGTTCGACTGGTTGTACCGCAGCGGTTGCGGTTGCGGGTGGCAACGTTTTCAAAACGTTTGATAGCGATTATAAATGATTAGTACTGACTGGTTGAAAAGTTGCTGTTGGTAGCGATTGCGGGTGGGTGCAGTTAGAAGTGAATGGTTCATTACAGTTGCGGTTGCGTTTTGATATAAATTGTCAAAAAAAAATATTATTTAAAAATAATTTTTTATAATAGTTTTAATTAAATTTTTCGTATCATTTGATTAAAATTATTTACTAAATTTATAAAAATTAAATAATAAATTTAAAATAAAAATATTATCAATTTAATTTATTTTCAAGTAAAAAAATAATTTTATTATAAAAATTATTAAAAATAATCATTATTAAACCTAAAAATTATACTATTGTATTTTTTTATTAAAATATAATACTAAAAAATAATATCAAATCATAATACTAAACAAAATCATCACCAATATATATATATTAATGTTTTATATAATTTCTAATAAAAATATTTTAGTTTATCGCAACCGCTCCGTTTGCGGGTGGCGGCGGTGCAACCAGTCGACCCCTAACTAAGCAATCATTTATCTATGAAAAGGAAAAGTGCACACTGACGTTCAACCTTATTTATCTCTTAAAGCCATGGAATCTCCTATGCCAACTTCCACCTGAATACCATGCAGCACGCAATGAAAACTTGTACATATTTTCCACATATACCCTCGGTAACAACAAGGTACAATATAAAAGTTGACCAAGGTCTTCCGAAGAGCAGGTGACTACATCTAATCATCATCTCAAACCCTAAATTTTATTTCACCCCCAATCTTCTTCCCAAAATCCCCACTTAAAGTTTCTCTCTCTGCGAATCAAATCTCTCTCTCTCTCTCTCTCCATTCTTCGTCGTCATGGCTACGATTATCTCCTGCTCCATTCCATCGACGATCCGAGCATCATCCGGACCCGGATCCTCCAGAAAACCGGACCCAAACCGCAAGAAACCAGCTTCCTCAGTTTCTTGGTGGGCACCCCTCTTCGGCTGGTCCTCCGATCCCGATTACGTCAACTCTGACAGCTCTCTGACGAGTAGGGAGTCGATTCCGGACAAGATTGAGAACTCCGAGTCGGGTCAGGATCCGGGTCGATCCGTTCAGAGATCCACGCTCGGGTGCTTCACGGAGGAGAAGGCTAAGCAGCTGCGGAGGAAGATCGCCGAGGGATCGGCGTTTCACGACGTAATGTACCATTCCGCGATTGCGTCGCGGCTAGCGTCTGACCTCTCTGGTCGGGTCGAGAAGTAAACGGGTCGGCCCGAGATCCGTACGGACCAACGAATAACATAAATTAGTTCGTTGAAATGTACTTTTTTTTTCGGTATTTCCTGTATGTTTCTGTGCGGTGAAGAACAGCTGCTTTCGGTGTTGCTTTTTTATCAGAACCGTTGGATCGCGCTTGATGTTGTATCTTGTAAACCGGTGGAATCGTATAATATCTCTGGTGTCAATAATGTCTCTGTCTAATACATATGGGCTTCTTCTCCCTGAATTCTGTTTTCAGACAAAAGCAATTCTGTCTCTGTTGTTCCACTTCAACACATGGCAGCAGTTCCGAACGGATTAGATTATAGAGGTTGCCCATAATGGCTCCGAATTCGTGATTGACCCACTTGGTTGTTGTTTGGAGATTTCTGCATAAAGTTTAAGTTTTTTTAGACAAATGTCAGTGGGTGTTGATAAAGTTTGTGTTTTGTAAGTTGCATTCTGTTCTGTGTGGGCAAATTTTGTGTTTTTCCTCTCATGCGGTCGGCATTTATGATGGGTTTCTGTTTCTTCTGGGGCAGGAACTCTACTGTCAATGAGGATTTTCTGGCTTCAATGGCTGTCCTGTCCTGTCACCTTATCTGAAAGTGAGCTGTAATGCAAGAGAAGAATAAAAGCTACATCTGTTTGCTCGTGCCTCCTTTTTGTAGCTTCAGAACTTACGCCTACTTGTTTTCCTTCTCCATCTTCCTAACATTTCCATCTCTTTTTTTTTTCTGAGGTACTTCCTCCATTCACCAATCTGAAAGTCCTTGGCCTTTGCACTGTTCTAAATTCATCCTTTACAAGAAAGATGGTTGAAGCATATGCCTTGAACCAGAAGATCAATGGCCACGTGGGCGATGAAGATGAACACACAACCAGGAAACAAAGAACAAAACCTCTGACTAGGTACAGAAAATTTCAGACACGGCTGCAGAAATATCTAGTAGTTTAAAGCCAGTACAAGCAAACGGTCTGTCATTTTTTTTTTACTTCCATTAGAAATATGGATTGTGTTTTAGGGGATTTTCCAAGGTTCCATGACAATGATGTGGGTTTTCGGGATCAAATATGAAAATATTGGGGCTTACATGTAAAGGTTTAAAACTATTGTCCACGATATGTAAAAACGAAAAGTAGCCTGGAATGGAAATCCCTTCTCTTCCGACATCAAGCTGCTGATATATAAAGAATGGAACTCTTCGTTCTCCTCTGCGATTAGCCCTTTTCTTCTTCACGTAGTTTTTTTTACTTTTTTTTCTTCTCTAATTTTGTTTTTTGGATTTTAGATCTCAATTTTTCACACGCAGCATCTCTGGAGCTGCAGAATTTTCTATCAAGCGTAGATCAATCGTAGTCTACCGTGCGGGATTCTTCTACTAATCCATGTATGTAAAGAGACAAAAGAATTAGTCAGCGTCTCTGTTCTTCGAAATTTTCTCAGAATCGCTTGGATTAGGGACCCTTTTCTTAAATCTGAAAAGGGTTGTGATTCGTGTTGGATCGACCAAGTATTATTAGGGTTCTTCTTCTTCTTCGGTGTTGTTAAATAAGAGCGATGGAGAAGAGAAAGGCCGCTGTTCCGCTTGTGTGCCATGGACATTCAAGGCCTGTTGTGGATTTGTCCTACAGTCCAGTAACTCCAGATGGCTTCTTCCTCATCAGCGCAAGCAAGGGTAAATCTGCTTTAGAATCTGTTGTTAAGATCATTTTACATTCGTGGATGAATTGGAACTGCGATTATGTTTGAACAAATAGAGAGGTTTCCGGTTCCGAATGATTTTCGCTTTGGTTGTAATAGCTGAAACCTTGATTCCCTGAGTTATGGCGAACTGGACCTTAGGATCTTTCTGGAATATTCACTGGACGAGGATTTAGTTTAATACGTAAAAGAATGACCCAAATTCGGAGGTTGTTCAAGCTCCAAGTTATCGTCTTTCTATTGGAAAATTTCATTTCGATGGGCTTTGGTGCTTCTCCGAGAAAAATCTTAACAGGGTATCCATATGTTCTGCAAGAGAATTGGGATTTTTTTTTACCTATGTAATGTTTTGTTCATGTATCATGGGTTAGGTTTGATGACTCTCTTTGTAGTTAAAAGAGTTTGTGGCTTTTCGCATCTTGACGATTATTATACTCTTTTCAATGTTAGATTCCCACCCGATGTTGAGAAATGGGGAAACCGGCGATTGGATTGGTACATTCGAAGGGCACAAAGGTGCGGTGTGGAGTTCTTGCCTGGATACAAATGCATTACGTGCTGCATCTGCATCGGCCGATTTTTCAGCGTATATTATCTATAACCTTTCCTTTCATTTTTGGGTTTTTGGATATTGTAAACGCCTAAAATTTCCACAATTTGTAAATTTCTGAATAAGTTTCTTGAAAGGAATAAAAATATTGGTCTTTGTTTTGTAAAAAATCTTCCTTTTGTATCATTCTTTTTCAGGAAACTTTGGGATGCATTGACCGGGGATGAACTGCATTCTTTCGAGCACAAGCATATTGTTCGAGCCTGTGCCTTCTCAGAGGTAAATTCTAGTAAATTAAATTGCCATGTAGGAGTAGCTATCCTGTTTTTTTGGATTTTTGGTGACTTAAGTCTTGTCATTTCAGTTTTCTGTAATAGAGTAAACCGGCCTTACTATTTAGTGGTTGGGGGGCGAATGTTACTATGAAACTGTTGTGTATCAGTGACAAACATTCTCGCAAATAAACTTCACAGAATTTAATGTTGAATGCTTTTTGGTTTTGGTTCATATAAGGACTCATGAATTATCCTCTAGATAATAAGATGTAGACTAGTAATCCAGCTTCCTTTATCTCTCCAGTGGTAGATCGTTTAATCCATGGATAATTTCGTATTTTTATACCCCGTAAAATTACAATGTAACGTAGTGCCATGTGTGCGGCTGTTGTTTGTTTTGCCAGGATACACACCTGCTTGTCACCGGAGGACTCGAGAAAATTCTCCGTATATTTGATTTGAATCGTTTGGATGCACCTCCAGGGGAGGTTGATAAATCTCCTGGATCTATCAGAACTGTTACATGGCTTCATAGTGATCAAACAATACTAAGTTCTTGCACTGATATCGGTGGGGTGAGGTACGAGCTATATATACGATGCATATAACGATCCGATTCTTTCCATCCATCAAATTTCTTGTTTCTTCTTCTAATCTGATTTTGAATCTGAATCCAGATTGTGGGATGTAAGGAGTGGAAGGATTGTCCAAACTCTAGAAACCAAGTCACCTGTCACCAGCGCTGAAGTTAGCCGAGATGGCCGGTATATCACTACCGCTGATGGGTCCACCGTTAAATTCTGGGATGCAAACCAGTAAGTTCTCAACTCAGGTAGATGAAAATCCTGTCTTGTAATAAATTTTACAACTTGGCTAAAAGTTGCCTTTGTCTCTCGACTCTCTCCCAGTTTTGGACTGGTGAAGAGCTACAACATGCCATGCACTGTTGAGTCTGCATCGCTGGAAACGAAATCCGGTAACAAATTCGTTGCTGGCGGAGAAGATATGTGGGTTCGAGTGTTTGATTTCCATACTGGCGAGGAAATCGGTAAGTGAAAATGACTCTGAGACAAACTTATCATGTTTCAGAAATTACTGTTTTTGAGAGCTGGACTTGTAATCATATATGATCTACTTCTTATTGGTCGTCGTGATTCTAAGTTAAAAATTGTTTAGTGGAGAGACTGGTTACAGTTTCTTCACTCGAGAATATCATCAAGAGCTTGAAATTCCTTGTGGGGTTCAGTTTTCTGACAGTGTCGTTTCTGAAAACATAGGATGCAATAAGGGTCACCATGGTCCGGTGCACTGCGTGAGGTTTTCGCCGACAGGTGAATCCTATGCCTCGGGATCCGAGGATGGAACCATCAGGATCTGGCAGACGGGTCCTTCGAATCCCGAGGACATCGAAGCAAGCACCGGGAGAGCAAAGCAGACAGCCGATGAAGTTGCCCGTAAGATCGAAGGGTTTCACATCGACAAGGAAGAGAGAACTGCGGAGAAACCATCCGATGCCTAAGGAGAAGAAAGACCTGGATTCTGTCTTTGGCCTCGAATTAGGGGGGGGGGGGGGGG